TTCCCTTCTTCTCCGGCGAGTTCACTCATCACATCCTCCACTCCCAACATTCATGTAATGGTGAATTAGACAGACCACAAAAATCAAGGGTTCAATAATTTTGTGATATTAGGCATGCAACCCTACACATGCGAGGTGTTGTATTTATATTGCATGAGAAATATGCAAGTGGGCACGTAATTCGAAGTGTATGTATGTGTAGATTTTGATTTTTGAGTGTTTGAGGTTTTGAGGGCATTGATTATAAGGCTGTGAAATCCAGGATGAAGCAGATGCGCTGCTATTTGCCAACACCTGGGGAGCTCTCATCAGTCCGCTTTCCTCTTTTTTTTTTTTTTTATAAACATCCAAGAATATATTTTAGTGAAATAATGAAAAAATAAACCCTAATCATTGATTGCACTAAAAAGTGCATAATTATCTCCCATTTATATATCCCTGCTCGGTACATAACCCAAATTATAATAGGCAAAATTTTATATTTATTTTAGGATTAACAATTTAGCATATAGATACATATATAAAGATATTAGAAGAGTAATTAAATGGCAGATGTCGGCGGTCGCACGTGTGGAATATATATATATATATATATATATATTAAAATAAAGGGAAAAGGAAGCGTCGGACAGTATCTATATCTATGAAATTTAACTGCCCACACGATCTTATGGTAAAATCTCCAAAGTCTTTTCCTTTTCCCTCACTTATTGTGTCTTCGTAGGTTTGCATAAGCCTACTCTTTTATTTTTATACACATAATTATTTTCACGTGCATACAATATTATTCTTTTTTTCAGCTTTTAGTAAGGACGTGACTATTTTTTTTATTTTTTTGCATTATCATAAGTTCATAACACCCAACACTTTGAGAGATTCCAACTACCTATATTTGAAATTTGTATAAACAAATAAAAGTAGGATATTTTTTTTGAAGATATAGAGAAAAAAACTGAATTTCGTAGAAAAATTATGTATTTTATATTATTCGTATTTAAGTATCCGTATTCAAATCTCTAAATTCTAATTGTTTGGAGAGTACTGTATCGTACAACTCGGATTTCCAATAACTAGTATACGAGGGAGAAACTGTACGATGATAAGTTTCAAACTCGTATTTGGAGTAAGAGATTAGACGGGTGATATTACCGATATATCAAACCACAGTTTCAATTACATCATATGCGTTATAAAATAATTTAATATATATATATATAAGATATAGTCGATGGGTCATTCATCTATACAAGAAGCCACAGAGAGAAATGTAATAAATGACGGGAAGGACGAGAAAGGCAGCACCGACCTCATTCCTTAGGAGAACGACCTCTCATTAATTCCACTTCACAAGCAATCTCTCTCTCTCTCTCTCTCTCTCTCTCCCCCTCTCTCACATTTGGTTATTGAACATCGAATACATAAAACGCGCATTATAGACCCCTTGTGTCGATCAAATTCTTTGTTATCGAATTTCGTTTTGTTTTTGTTAAATAATATTATAAATATTTTAAAAAAATCTAATCTAATCATGACAGGTATATGTCTGCAGTCGCATTCATTTTGAGACTTGTTATATTTGTTGGGTTTTTTGGCAACAATTATTTGGTAAAAAAACTCCCTTTGTACGTGTAGTCTTTTTTTTATGGAACAATTTTTTTTTTACACATTTGAGCAAATACAAAATGAAAGAAAACATAATATATACAGTAATCTTTCTTTATCCTTTTACGTTTTGCAGGAAAATACCGTAAAAGAAGAATATCAGAAATTGTGTTTATTGGATAAAAATATATTGAAAACGATATGTCCGTACAGTGTGGCAATAAATGTATAAGGATTGAAGAATTCGGGACAGGTCGAAGCATCATAAATATGGGAAGGAAGTGCCACACATTCTATATATATCATAACATAGTTTCATTGTTTTTCTTGAATTCCATAAATATCACGAGGAAAAAATAGAGAAAGAAATACAATTATACATGGTATATAAACATTAGGACCGTCGGAGATTTTTATTTCCAAATTTAACGAATTCTTGCGAAATACAAATATTTATTTACTTTGTAAGATTAAAATTTTATCGAAGTTCGAAAGTCGAAATAATATATGAAAATGAAACCATAAATTTTAGAATTAAACATAATAAAAGCTAATTTTGGTTTGCTTTAGCCTAATGGGCCCTAAATGGGCTGATAATTGGCCCCATGAGTTCCTCTATTTCCTGCAGAGGGTTCCTCTCTGGTGAAGTCACGCGTTGATCATTACTTGGATTCAAATTCAAAGTGACCCCACGAAAAAAAAAAAAGAACAGAACCTAGCTTAAAGAAAGAGATTCAGATTCAGACAACTTAACTTCAAAGCAACAAGATCAAGATTAGCATTTGATCGAAGATCTTAACCCTATATAAACAAGCCCTTTTGTTCTTCTGAATTCACCATCACTAACAAACACTCTTCAATCGAAGTTCTCTATTCTGCAAGAATGGCTCTCTCTTCCCACTCCAAAGTTCTCTGCTTTCTTCTTGCCTTAATCGCTGTGTCTATCTCCTTCTCTTCCGCCATTTCCCGTGACCATTCCATCGTAGGATACGCTCCCGAGGACCTGGAATCTCACGACAGACTCATCGAACTGTTCGAGAAATGGATTTCAAGGTTCGAGAAGGTTTACGAGACTGCCGAAGAGAAGTTGCGTAGGTTCGAAGTTTTCAAGGAAAACTTGAACCATATCGACGAGACGAACAAGAAGGTGACCAACTACTGGCTCGGGCTTAACGAGTTTGCGGATTTGACCCACGAGGAGTTCAAGAAGATGTATTTAGGGCTGAAGACCGATCTGATCTCGAGAAAAGAAGATCGGTCTTATGATGAAGAGTTTGCTTACAAGGACGTTGAGGCTATTCCCAAGTCTGTTGACTGGAGAAAGAAAGGAGCTGTTACTGAAGTCAAGAACCAGGGTTCTTGTGGTAACGAAAAGGGGGGAAATTTTGAAAGTTTAGTTTGATTATGGTGAGTTAAAAGATTCGATTTTTACGGGAATTCGGTATCCATTTGCTTGCAGGAAGCTGTTGGGCATTCTCGACCGTGGCTGCAGTTGAGGGGATTAATCAGATTGTCACTGGAAACCTGTCATCGCTGTCTGAACAAGAACTCATAGACTGTGACACAACTTACAACAACGGTTGCAATGGCGGTCTCATGGACTATGCTTTCGATTACATAATCAAGAACGGCGGTCTCCACGAGGAAGAGGTCTATCCTTACGCCATGGAGGAAGGAACCTGTGAAATGCAAAAGGCGAGTGTGAAAAAGAACCCCGAGAAATCTCGAATGGCTGTATCTATCGAATGCTCAATCCCTTAATTTTTTTTTGTGAAAACGTTATAGGACGAAGCCAGGGTTGTGACCATCGACGGATACAAAGATGTACCGAGAAACGACGAGAAGAGCCTTTTGAAGGCATTAGCTCACCAGCCACTCAGTGTTGCCATTGAAGCCTCTGGAAGAGAATTCCAATTCTACAAGGGTGTAAGTGCACTCTCCTTTACCACATTTTCTCATCACACATACATATTGCCAAGAATCTGAGCAAAGAATTCACGATTTCTTCCGCGGGTTAATTTGTTCTTGAAGGGCGTGTTTGATGGGCGGTGCGGGACAGATCTGGACCACGGAGTGGCTGCGGTCGGGTACGGATCAAGCAAGGGGATGGATTACATCATCGTGAAGAACTCGTGGGGGCCGAGGTGGGGAGAGAAAGGTTACATCAGGATGAAGAGGAATGTGGGAAAGCCAGAGGGAATATGTGGAATCAACAAGATGGCTTCTTTCCCCGTCAAGAACAAGCGATTTGAGTTCACACCACATGAATGATCTGCGTTTTCCTCATCGATCTATCCACATGATATGAACTGTTACCGATAAAAGCTGTGATTTTTATTGCTTTTTCGCTGTCTGATTTGCCAATGAAATTATGGTAACAAGTACAATATATCCTCCTTTGTTTTGTCAATGAAATTATGGTAACAAGTAAAAATGGAATCCGATAACAATGGAATATAGAAAATGAATGAAACAGCCAAACAAAGCAAGTGTCGACCTTTACATGATGTAAGCAAAGATCGTCACAGGTAGATCAAGAGTCAAAGTAAACAAAAAAGAACAAAACCGGGTTAAAAGAACATGGTACGAGGAAAGAAATCGAAGCCGAGAATTAGTGTTTCAATCATTCTGTCGGGAGGAAGGTGACCTGTCCGTAGTAGAACGTCTCTGTACGTCAAGTTCTTGCCCTTCGTTAACTCTCTCGAGCTCGTTCTCTTCTAAAGATCTCCCCATCGTTTCGCGTGTGAAGAAATACGTCACTGCCATCCCGACGATGCAAACGCCGCCGAGAATCAGAAAAGCAATTCTCATGCGCTTCACGTCCGGAAAATTCACGTCGTCTAAGTCCCCGTTCCCTGGACTGCCGTCTTTTTCTACATACACCTGTCGGAAGACGAATACATGTCAACTCTCTCTCTCTCTATATATTTCCTAATTAATACGATAGAAAATGCCATTGATCTGTGCAATGTTAACAAGAACCGAAAGCATTAGGGTTGTTTATTACCGTCTTTGTCACCCAAAGGAAACCGACGATGCCCACGATGGCGCCAAACTTTCCGGCGGCTCCGGAGATACCGTGACACGTGGACCTGAACCTCGCCGGAAAAAGCTCAGCCGGAATGATGAACGTAGTGGTATTGGGTCCGAAATTGGAGAAGAAGAAGATAAGTCCATAAAGAACCATAAACCCTTTGTTGTTGGTGTCTCTGTGGTTGGCCCAGTAGCTGCTGTAACGAGGGAATAAATTCTGCAAAACAGGGAATGACGAACATCAAATAGCATCATCGTGAGACTTAAAAGCAAAACATCCATCCAATACTAGTTTTCCGAGAATCGTACCCAAACCGGGCTACTATGATCTTCCTACCAAAGACTAATCTACCTAGTCTTCCGATTCTGTCGATGAAGTAGACGGTGAACCAGTAACCAGGGATGGTGGAGCAAGCCGCGACAATGGCGGAGAACTCGGCCACTCTGAAAGCGACGTCGTATACGTTGGTGTGTGGGACATTGGAGAGGTTGAAGATCTGGGAGAGGAGGAGGTTGCTCGTGTAGAAGACGACGTCGACGAGGAACCAGTTGGCGGAGGCGGCGAAGAGATCTCGGCCGTGAAGACGGAGGAACTGGCGGGAGAAGAGCTTGTAGGGCGGAGACGGCGGAGGACGCGGCGGAGCTTCCGAAGGGTCCTCCGCGATCTGTGACATCGAGACCGCCATCACTTTCTGCATGTCTTTTGTCGCTTGGACCACGTTGTTCTCCACTAGTGCTGTGTATCTGCATGCAGAACAAATTTCATAATCCCCACGCACACACGAATCTCAAAAAAAAAAAAAAAAGATTCTACATCTGGTTTTGAACCTTGGCACTTTCGAATATGAATAAAAATTCGAATAACAAATCTTGTTTGGTTATAAAAGTGATAATGATCTGAATATATATCATCTATGAATATATATGTTTATACTGAAATATATGTATGTATATATGCGTTGTCGGAAACGTTTACTGCTTATTGGACAAGGGGTTGCGAGAGAAATCTCAACTGGTAACGTGTTAATTTCATGACGATAGGGACGTTTTGTTTGACTTTTCTTAGATCTATAAAGAACCTAGTTCGAATCGGACAAACCCCCAAAGACTTCATAATTGTAAATGGTCAACATATCAAAATTTTATGAATTATTATATATAAAAAAATTACTCTATAGATAAAATTCTTAATTAAAGAAATCATTTATTAGCACGAATTGGATCAGATCTAAACCTAGTAGGGGTAATGAGCAAAGGCGAACATGCAAATGAAGAAAATTAATAAAAGTAAAATAAAATTCAATCAATTAGCTGGAGCAACACCTGGGGGAAAAAACAACATATATATATATATATATATATATATATGAACATGCTATATTATAATTAATGTGTGTGTGTGTGTATTTCTGTCTGTATAATGAAATTTGAAGAATCTCATATCGTCTATGACTGTCATTGGAAGGGAAAAATAAATTGAATAAGATTAAATTAAATGAGAATTCGCCATGCTAAGGTATATGCCATTGTGTACGGTATATTTCATTCACAAGTCAACTTCCCTATTAATTGTTCCCATAGGAACGAACAAACCACGAAGTTGTAATGCATACATATGTACCTTAACATATATATATAATATTAAAAAAAAACTAATACATAGTATCAAATTATTATCATCTGAAAAAAAATCATATGATTTAGATTTAATTTTGAGGAATCTATGATAGTTTTATCATCTAATGTTGTATTGAAAAACACTCCCAAAATTTATCATCAATTTCTTGTTTTAGTCTTGATCATATCAACTAAATATTTCATAATTTCATTCCCGTTATTTGTATATTCGTTTTTTATTTTAAAAAATTATTATAACCATTCTACTTTTATCGGAATTAGGTTCAGTTCGAATTTAATTAAGATTCATTTTAACTAAACAATATTGATTTTCTAAAAAACTTGTATTCAATCAAGGTTTTTTATTTTACATTTCATTTGATTGTAATTTGGCTTAGTTAAATTTATCCAAAAAAAATGGTCAACCCTACTCATATGTATGAGCTCACCATTTATAAGCATATCTATTGGATACACATAAATTTTTTATTAAAAACAAGAAGACGATACGAAGAATATTCGTTTTTTATTATATGATCTGCTTGTATTTTTATAATCGTACCGAGTAATTAAGCTATAAAACAGATTTAAAACATTCCATTGTACGGGTTTGGTAACTATATACGTATTTGACCGCTGGCTGACACATTTGATACAAAAAACAAAAACACATTTTGAATATCTTAAAATGTTTTAAATTTAAATTATCTTATAAAGTGCGTAAAAGAGTTTACGTTTGCAACTAAATTACCGAACTGCAGATTTCTTTTCTCTAAGTCATATTTTCACAATTTACTTGGAAAAAACAAAAACCAAACACAGTGACACAGTGAATTTTACATTTTCAAGTCCGACGTTTATTTTACTAAAATCCCAAAAACAAAATTATGAATTAAACCCATCTTTTACTATGATATAACTAAGGAGCCATGCGTTTTGTCCTTTAAATTTCAATGTGTGAAAATGAAAATCGAAAAAAGTAATAAATAGGTGTTACTTAGTTTTACTGTTTTAGTAGAAAAAATACTTCGCGAAGGAAGAAAAAAAAAAGGAGGAAAGTGTAATCACAGAACCTGGCGGTTTCCGGCATGAGCATCCTCCAGTAGAACGTGAGCGCGGCGGGGATGGCGCCAAGCATGAGGATCAGCCGCCACGCCACGTCAGCCTCCCACGGCGAAGACAGATCATTCGCCGCCCTGTCTCCGCCGGCGACCTCGAAGATCTTACAGACAGCCATGGTCGCCGCCGAGCTCACGAGTATCCCCAGCCCTTGCATCGAGAACACGGCCGCTACGAAAGCGCCACGTGTCCTCCGGTTGGCGAACTCTGACATGATTGTCGCCGACAAAGGGTAATCCCCGCCGATTCCGAGTCCGAGCACGAACCGGAAGAACCCTAGGCTGACCATAACGCAGGAGCGTTGCGTGGTGCAGACGGAAAAGCCGCAGCCGAAGGAGCTGAAGATCATGATCAGTAGGGAGAGGCCGTATACTCTCCGCCGACCGATTCGATCTCCGAGATGTCCGAAAACGACTTGTCCGATCGCTGTTCCGAGGAGGGCAATGGCGTAAGAAGCGGAAAGAACAGCCGTGCCGATGGGTTTGTCGCCATAGTAGATATGTCTGATCATTTTCATGATCGGAGCTATGCAGAAGAGATCGTACGCGTCGGTGAAAAGCCCCATACCTGCGATGATTATCGCTTTGAAATGGTACAGTTGGATCTTCGCATGGTCGAGAGCCGACAGGATTCGAATCGGCATCCTCCTCCGATTTCGGGTTCAAGATCCCTGTGATTCTCTTTCTTTTCAGAGTTCTGATAATCCGGGAGCGTGGAACCGGAGGGGATCCTTTATATAATCCACATAAGGCTCTGTTTGTTTAATTATTTCGATGGTTTTGGATTGGTGGGTGATTATTGAATTTGATAAAGGATTAAGCTTTCTAATTTTTAATGATTGGGGGATTAGAGATATGGTCGAGTTCGAGATTTTCTCGATGGGGTTTCATAACATAAGCGTGGAATATGCTTCGGTTTGACTGCAAGGGAACACGAAACATGTAAGACTTGGCCAAATAAAATTAATGTAATATTTAATTATTTATATTCACAATATATATATATATAGAGCCAAATAAAAGTTATTTTTTTCTTTCCTGCTCTCACGATAGGATTTAGGGCCACACGGAGTTTGAATGTTCTTGAAATTTTCCGACCACCCATTCACTCACTCAGAAATTTCCCTCTTAATTATCACTCTCTCCGATGTGACTTATTATTAATTAATTCACTGAAAACAAAAACAATAATAATTATAGTTCCCACGTTTAATCTATCAAGTATTAACCAATCATCTTATTGTTTAGCACATTTTTTATTGATTAATTAATTCACTTATTTTTTTTTTTAATTTCCGGACATCTATAAACATTAATCCAAAGCATCTGTCCCGTGGTGTTTTAGTAAGAAAAGCTGAAAAGTTTTTTTTAAAAAAAAACAATTTATTTGGATTTCTTTAAAGAAAATCTCGTATTCTTCTGAGATATCGTAATTCGTTTTTATAGCACCATCCATTACTGTACATTTTCCATTACTGTACATTTTCCATTACCAAATATATATATAAAAAAAATTCATATAAATTTAAAATTATTCGAAATGTTATATCCACGAGGTGATATTTCATAAATCGGGTTACCGACATGATCTCCGAGGATTTTGTGGATTTATTCGGAAGATTCCACATTTGGATACATCTGAGTTTGTGGAAATTAAAACATAGGAACCCAACTTTCCTTGTCTTATTCAAAATGGTTCAATCCTATTCCCAATTCTAGATGACGTGTCCCTTGTTCGTTGAAGGCAATGGGCCTTAGCACAAGGCCCAAATTCCAAATCTCGGGGTTTTATCTCTCTCTCGTTATATTTGTGTTTTAATTTGTTTTCTATATTCTCTAACCTATTAAGATTTAAAATACTATTTTTTATTATCTAAATTAGTTAAATTTAGTTGTGATTATTATAAATTTAACAATCTAAATTCGATATGAATTTAAAACTCGATTCTCTTCTGATTTTTTTTTACTTCAACATTTGTTTATAATTATCTATTTAAATTATTTATTGGCAAAACTTATTTTGTAGATGCAAAGAGTCTGATTTTAGAATTCAAACCCATGAACCCATAAAGCAATAAGAGATTATAACTTTATTATGTCTTTTTTATGACATGGTGAAAAATACATCACATATATTTTTCTACGGTTATTTCCAATCAAAACAAATATCGAAACTATTGGTCTGTTTGTGGAATCTGTATGGTTTGAATATCAAAAAACAAAGTTACTAAACAAAATTAATAATAAATTTACTAAACATAATTCATAACACGGTTTTATTAAACAAATGATATGATATTTATACATCTATACATGACATATTGATGGTTCTGTTATTTTTTTTACGTCGTTATTGTTTGTGGAGGTTTGTGCTAAAAATATAAAAATTGGTGTATTTTATTACCAAAATGAAAGTTTATGTATTTATTTACCAAATATACAAAGTTCATATATTTTTTTTTGCTATTGTCCCATTTTTTTACATATTAGTTTAAAATTTCAATTACTTAGGAAAGTTTTTTCCATAAAGGTTGGATAGACACTAAAGAATCTGGGTTCATAATTCAATTATAGATAACACAAACTTTTTATGGTATAAGATCGTTGACTTATCAGTCTCTTATGTGGAATAGAGAATTTTAAAATAACCAATTGGAAACGTTAAATATATATATATATATATATATATATATATATATATATAAATCTATCATAAAAGAAGATAATTTTAAAACAATCAATTCGAAATACCAAATATATAAAAAAATTCTGAATATAATTTTTTTTAAAAAGGCTCGTTTCCTTTCTGATTTCTTACTTCAACCCCAGTTTAAAATTATTTTGTTTATCATTCTCAATTTGTTTTTCTCCTTAGACCATTATAGAAACATTTTCAAATAGAGATATTCATGCACTAACATTAGTTGGCTCTGTATATTCTAAGATAAACAACCATATGATAAAATTGTTTGATTCCGATTTTGTAAGTAAAACGATTCACGGAAAAAGATTATTTAAAAAAAAGAAGAAGAAAACCTTATTTGATGGGTGAAAATTTTAAGATTGGAATTGGCTCAATTCGTCTATATTCTATTTTTTTTTTTGGTAAATGCGCCTATATTTTGTTATATATATGGATGCCCTTTCATAAGTATATATTGCCTCATTGATTCATACATGCAAGTTCAACTTCAAATATTTACTCATTATATATATATATATATATATATATCCTATATCTTTTATAATACTATTGATTTTGAACTCGATCGGCAATTTTTTTTACCGATTCAACGATTACACAAAATATATTCTCACGTCCAATGGTAATTGTAAATTAAAAATAATGTCTTGATACTGTTTGCATGCATCTTGTAACATTAGTCAACGCGAAAAAAAAATATATGATGTACATCCTAATCAAAGCAATCTGATTTAGATTATTTAGTTTTAGTTTAAATTTAATAATCTAATTCGATACAATATCAAAAACTCGATTCTCTTCTGATTTTTTTACTTCAACAATTGTTTATAACTATCTAATTAAATCATTTATAGGCAAAACTTATCTTGTAGATGTAAGAGTTAGATTTTAGAACTCGAACCCATGAATCCATAAAACAACAAGAGATTATAACTTTATTATGTCTTTTTATGATATGGTGGAAAATACATCACATATGTTTTTCTATGGTTTGTTCCAACCATAACAAAGATCAAAGTTTTTGGTTTCATGCCTGAATCTGCATGGTCCACTCTTTCGTACCTTCCACGAGCATTCCGTCCAGTAATTCTCAGCGTTATCCCTAGTTTGGTCATAGATATCGAACCAATGCGAGCCACCTTTCCACCAAAATCTACAGAAGAAAAGCGTATTCCCAAAGAAATTGGGTTCGAATGTAAACGACCACGACTCGTTCGGTCGCAAGATCTTATATCCGAGATCGTCGTTTTTCGACTTGCAATGGAATTCTAACCATATACCATCTCCGAGATCGTTGGTGACCACGACCGTCTCTTTCTGTTTGAGACCATTAACGTTGTCTGAAGGCTTATCTTGGCTCACAACGTTGTTGGTTTGGGCGAGGAGGGATGCCGTTGAAGTGATATTGACAAGTGAGTAGAGCAGAAAGAACAAGAAGGTTGGTTTCATGGGGAAAACCATTTCTAGGGTTTTTGTTGGATTGAACAAGAGTGTTTGTGGACGATGTTTAAGGATTTGGTCTCAATTTATAGACAATCTTTCGTGATGTATATATTTTTTTTAACATTTTTGGCATTTCAAATTGTTTTAATTTAAATTTCAATTACGTAGGAAAGTTTTTTTTTTCTCATAAAGATTGGACACACTAAAGAATCTAGCCTTTTTGAATTGCTGGGTTCATAATTCAAATACAGATTAAAAAAAAACTTTTTACGGTATTAAGATAATTGGTTTAGCTAGGAAAAAACTTTCCTATGGAATAGAGAAATTAAAAATAATCAATTCTAAACGCCAAATATAGAAAAAAATCTGTCATAAAAGAAGAAAATTTAAAAATAATCAATTCAAAACGACAAATATTGAATAAAATATATCATAAAAACCTGTCCATATACTAACATTAAAAATTGAGATCAAACCCATATGTCCACAAACAAACTTGTACATTTTAAAATTTAATCTAACTAAAAAGTGGTGTTATTCAATGAATTGAATAAGGAACCGTTCTTTTTCTTCTGGATAAAAGGAAAAATAATTCTGATGCACATCTAATCAAATCAATCTAATTTAGTTTAGTTTAGAATTGTTTTCATTTAAATCTATAATCTAAATATAAAATCATAGAAAAAAGTTCGTTTCCCTTTTGATTTCTTACTTCAACCTTTGTTTAAAATTATCTTATTTGTCCTTCTCAATTTGTTTTTCCCCTTAGACCATTAGAGAAACATTTCCAAATGGAGATATTCATGCACTAACAATAGTTGGCTTTTTTATTTTCTAAGATAAGCAAGTTCATGCATGAATTCATATGATAAAATCCCTTAATTCCAATTTTGTAAGTACTCACGTGAAAAGATCGAGAAAAAACGTACAAATTATGTGGGAAAACTTATTTGGTGGTTGAAAATTTTGAAATTGAAATTGACCCATATATGATGTTTAATAAATATATTAAAAATCAAGAGTGTTTTTTTTTTGTAATTTTATAGTAGTCGGTACCTGCGAGATAACCCGTTATAAAATACAGAAACGCGAACCCGAATCCGAAATTCGTTCAGATATCCGTGAGATAGAATATCCGAAAACCCGTGGATCTCGGGTAAAAATGTCCACCCCTACTTACCGACATAATCTCCGAAGATTTTGTGGATTAATTCAAAAGATTCCCCATTTAGATACATTTGAGTTTGTGGAAATTAAAACATAGTATAACTCAACTTTCCTTGTCTTGTTCAAAATCGTCCAATAGTATTTCCAGTTCTAGATGACTGTCTCTTGTTTGTAGAAGGCAATGGGCCTTAACACTATACCCAAATTCCAAATCTTGGGGTTTTATTTCTCTCTAGATATTCGTGTTTTCATTTGTTTTTTATATTCTCTATCCTATTGAGATTTTAAATACTATTTTTATTATCTAAATTAGTTAAATATAGTTGTAATTAGTATAAATTTAACAATCTAAATTCGATATAAAATTTA